AAACCGGATCATATTTGCAACGACCGCATTGTCCTTTTTATAAGGCATAGTTGGGCGTGATCATGCTTCAAAATAATAGGCAGTTTAAATAAAAGTATCTGGACAATGAAGAACATGACTAACAAATAGAATTTCCATTTGTATCAATGGCATGGCTATTGTTCTTTTCTATGGGGACAGGGTGGTGAAGAGGAGTAAATGACATTCAACAAGTAACTAGAATCTCACTTTCAGTTCTTCAAGAGAAAATCCCCTCCCAGCATGGACTTTCATGTTGTATTTAAGTGTTTGTTCACGAACAATAGGTCGAAGTGATCCCGCAGTTGGCCTAGGGAAGATCTTCACAGCCTTCTGCTGCATAGCTGAAGACAACAGAACAAAGACAGGTAGGAAAATGTTAATACTGTTCAACAAAAATTGAATTTCAAAAAGAAAAGGATCATGCCAGGTAGTCCAACAAAATGGTAGCTTACCAGCACGTCTCCTTGTTTTCCTTGCTGGTTGGTTGAACCAAGTCCTTACATAGTTTTGCCAATGCTTCTTGAAGTGCCCGTTGGGTATAACGTTGTTGTGATTCAAGTCTTACCTGAAATTGAACAGAAATGTAATATCTCAAACAAACATCACAAAGCTAGCTGCTCTTGTGAACTAACTAGCATAAAACTCTCATTTGTCTTTCCACAAACACAATCCACTTTCGGCTGGTAGTAAAAGTTCCATTTTTGATAGCACAAACTAGGCAACAGCCGGGAAAAGCCACCCAAACCAAACCAAAAAAACGTTCGATTCCCAAATCTAAAGGTCAGATTAATACAAACTATAGGTCACATTAAGGTTGTATTATGGGCCGGGCCCGGGCCTAAATGAGCTAAACGGGCCAGGTCAAACGGTCTCGGGCTCTGGCGGGCCGGTCTCTGGTGGTCCTGGAGGGTAGAACCGGCCCACTACAGGCCTAAGCCCACATGGTCCGGGCTAAATGGGTCGGGCCCACGAGCCTAAACGGGCTAAACAGGAGTGTTCCGGGCTATTTTTTTTATCTAAAATATTTCTTGTATATTATATATATATATATATATATATATATATATATAATTCAGTATTTTATTTTAACAGTACAACACAAACACTAACATAGAAACTTAACATAACTTAAATTCAGTACAACTAATGAAAACACATGACACGAGAAACANCGCTTCAAACACAAACGATAAAGATACTGCAACTTTTCTTTGTAGTATTCCTGCTGACAGGGTTCATCAATCCATACTTCAAAATTGCAAACAGGTTCGTTGGGAACCCTATAAAACTTGTTCATACACGCCCAGTAGCGGCGTCCAGCTTCACCATTATCCCAACAGTCTTGCATCATGCATTTTTTGCTGCACTCACACCTTGGCACATAAAGGGGTTCAGACATTTGTTAAAGCATAAAGAAAAACCTTGCTTTTATGGAAATATTTGCTATTGATTATTGTTAAGTGCAGAAAATAACTAGAATGCGTCCGTTATTTGTAGACAAGCCAACACACAAAACGTAGTATTGTACCGCGCTATGCATATTCACTTTTTATGAAACGAAACAGCTTTTTTGCAGTCGATCACCTTTTCAGACCGACAAGACAACACACAAAAAGTAGTCCACCACCACCTATACATATTCACTTTTTCTCAAACGAAACAACTTTTTTGCAGTCGGTCAGCTTTTCAGACCGACAAGACAACACGCAAAAAGTAGTCCACCACCACCTATACATATTCACTTTTTCTGAAACGAAACAGCTTTTACAATTTATGCTTTTAAGTTGATTTGAGACAATTTGTGTTAAATAATATAGCTTATATAAATTATATAGCTTGTCTTATAATTATATAGCTTATATATATACATAGCTAATGTTATATCGAAATTCGAATATAACTTATATACTATACACTTAGGGAGCGTTTGGTAGGAGGTATTAGAAAAAATAATGCAAGCTTTAGCTCTGTGCATTATTAATACCTCGTTTGGTATATTTTTTCAACCTTTGTATAACTAATACCTTGGTATTATGCTATGTATACGCAATGCATAAGAAACCATGACATTAGTAATGCAAGGGTTTTTAATGCTTGCATAAACATGGGGAAAGACCTAATTGCCCCCCTCAAATCCCTAATCAAAGCATTTCCCTATATTATTAGCAAACAGATTTCCTCTGTACGCTTTGGCCATGGAAAAGCACAGTTATTTTTTTATCTATAAAATGTTAATTTTTATAGCTAAAGTTAAAAATTATGGAGGGTACTTTTGTAAACACCCAATTTTTAAAAAATTATGCAATGTTTTAATACACCAAACAAACAGTGGATAAAAAATAATCTCAGCATAACTAATGTCAGCATAACTAATGCCAGCATTACTAATACCAGCATTACTAATACACTCTATTCAACACTATTTTTATACCTCCTACCAAACGACCCCTTAGTAGTTAGTATATTGTCGTATATAGTATATTGTCTTATATAAGATTGTATACATTGACTATATATATATGCTTAAGATGAACTCGGTATCAAAGCTGCAAATTAAAGTTTACATTTAATACTTCAAATTAAAGTTCAATGCCTTCAACATAATACTTCAAATTAATCTAACAAACTAAAACATTAAGCATAATACGTCTAATAATTTTAAAATAACACAAATTGTCTCAAATCAACTTAAAATCTTAAATACGAATGTCTGGAGAACGCGCAAGACAACTCTTTATATGCCTCCTTAAACTGCTTGTGCCCTCTTTTGGACGACGAGTGTAGACTCGACCACAGTTCTTGCACTTTATTATGTAAACTTCTTCATTTTATTCTACCACATTAAAGTGTTCCAAAATAAATGGGTGCAATCTAGAATCACCGGGCATGATTTAACTTGAATTAAAAATTTGAGTTTGAGAGATGAGTGAAGACTTGAATACTTCCATTTGAGTTTGAGAAATGAGAGATTGATGATTTTGTGAGTAAAAATGAAAGAATAAGAGAGCATTTATAGTTGAGAATAGGGAAAAGATGTAATTATAAAAAGTTTAGAGTTAAAATAAAGTTTGGGGGCCAAATGACTATTTTTTAAAAAGCCAAACGGCTAAAATGGCAGGCCAACGGCTAGTTTTAAAACTTCTAACCGTTGGCCTATTTTTTTTAAAAAAAAATGAAAAATAGCCATTGGGCCCATTTGGCCCGGTTGACCCAGGCCCGCTTGTCGGTCCCGGGCTCGCGGTCTTTTTTGGGAGGACCTGCCCACAATGAGCTTTTAGGACCGTTAGGGACTGGCCCGTTTGCTAGCGGTCCCGGGCTGAGCCCGCCCACAATACAGCCTTAGGTCACATAAATCAACAAAAATATCTAACCAGGTTTTAAGATACTGTATAAAAAAAGAAATATAGTCCAATAACACCTCCAAATTCCTCCTACTATTGAACAAAGACTTCGCAAAACACCCCGATTTCAACATCTATTAAATTGTACAAGTTTATTAAGGCATAACTATAAGCAAATCGTACTGTATCATAACTAACAAAACCGAGACACTACAAATAAACACAAATAAATCCAAAATTCTCAGTTAACAAATACTCTAAAAGGGTCTGAACAGACGACGATTCAGAAAATCTTTCAAAAACAACTTCATACCAATAGTACAAACAAAAGCCTATTCGCTATTTGTCATTGTGGATAATTGAGATTACATCACATGCGCTGTAAATTGATATTCGGAAACAGCCTCTCTATCCCCTCGGGAAAGGGGTAAGGTCTGCGTACACACTACCCTGGGATTTCACTGGGTGGTTGTTGTTGTTGTTATTGCACTGTAAATTGATAAGCAGGAAGCAGCCTACTCCATGTACTGACAACTAAAGGCCTCCGAAACCAGCAGGGACTATTTATTTAAGTAGAAAGGATTTCATTCTCTGTAAACATTTAAGACTAAATAACTCATCGCATTCGAAATCACCGCACATATTGATCATCCAATTAGCAATTAGATGCGCCGTTTCTTTGGGAGGCGGCATCCATTATGGGGGCGTCGTGTTGTGTCCTCAATGAATACCACAGGATTCTTATCTCCACGAGAATGAGTATAGCCCTCTCTGAAGCTTAGGATTGCTTGTTTCTTTTTCTTAAAGAAAGTAAAGCCATTTACTTTCATGACCACTGACCTCAAGCCCCGGTCTCTGGCTTCACGCCCAACATGTTCTGCAGTTGATTCAGCAGCGTATCTTGCAATTTTTGTTCCTTTTCCTGTTATCTTACCTGCAGTAGCCCCAAACTTTTTGTTCCCTTTTGAATCCGTCACAGTAACAAAGGCGTTGTTGCGAAGAACCTTTATATGAACAATATCAGCATCCTGCTCGACATGATACCTAGAAAGTGGAGCACCACCCAGAATACCCCTCGTATTGTCCTCCGTAAGTCCTCTAACAAAGTCCATTGGTCTAGAATTGTTTCCCATCTCAGCTTCCTTTGGGCTTTCAGAATGTATGAAACACCTCCTCCCAGCATTATATGGTGAATAAACATTCATTCCCAAGACTGAGTGCTCATTACTGCATATTTTGCTTTCAGTCTTCCCTTGAATACCTGCAGAAAAATGAACCATTGAGCCAAAAGTTCAAGAATTACTGCTTATCTAAGACCAGAATAAGAGACGGGCATATGCATGCCAGGTATACACAATACTGTTTTGCAGATGCATATTAAGAAGCTGGAAAAAACCAAGTAAGAGAGATTCCTGGATCTACTAAATACAAGTGAGTTAGACATTGTAATAGATTCAAACACATCTACACAATTACAAATCACAAGGTTCTACCACTGCTGGATACAATTACCTTTCTATTACTCAAGCCATTAGTAATGGAGACCGAGACCCTAATTGTAAAATTCACAAGTTCTGCTCCACCTCCTTAGAAGTTCCCTTATAAGGTTGATGGAAGCATTTTTCTTTCTCCCACACTTCGAAGAGTAACAGAAAAATCCAACAGGACAGGGAAAACCAATAGAGCAACATGTAAGAGAGTCAATTTCAACAAGTTCCCCTGATGGAAAGATTTGACAAAAACTATGTGGGCAACCAACAAGAAAACTTATTATTTGAAATGATTTTTTTTTAAAAAAAAAAAGAGAAACAGAAGGAAGGATTATCCTTAATGTTTTTATTTCTCTTACCTACTAAAGCAACAAAACAAATAAAGCGAAATCACGGCAGGTTATCATTGGGGTCTCTAAATGTTTTTTTACATGTTCTTATATGGAAAAACTACTCTAGATGGTCTTGTGTCTTCCATGCAGGACTTCTGTATCTCTTTATAATCCATATATTGATAGAAAGAGATGAAACACAAAAAACACTAGTCTTCTATTCTTTTTCTTTTTTTGAGAATGTAAGTAGCTTGTAATTGAAAAGGAGAAATTGCCCAACACCAAGCTGGTGCTAAGTCTCTACAAGTTATCAGGAGGCCTTCCACACAAAACGAAAAGGAAGGAATTCTGCAGTGACAAAACTATGCTTGCAGGGAATCAATGAAACCTAACATACTTTCCCTCATAGGTATGTTCTCTTTTATCTTCGTACCCCTAAAGTCTCAAGCGCTCAGCTGAACTCTTCCATTTACTTGGATCAAAATTTATCCATAAGACCATAACATTTGAAAAAAATTCAAAAATCCGCAAGCAAAAAAAAAACCCAACTATTATCTTCCATTTTGATAGTCCAATTTAATAAATTAAACTTTTGAGTTCTGCCCCCTTTATACTATCTTTTGATCCTCCTCAGGCTGTAGCTTTGAGAAGTCTTTGTTAAAGAGAAATATGAATAGTTTATCTACAATCATGCAATCTCTAATCCTCTGATATAATTTTAATAAAAGTCCGCATGGAGAAGCTTTCACTCTTCGACTGAGATTCAATAACCAAAAAAGGTACTGCCCTACCCTACAACTTTGAGACTAGCAAAGCACATCATTCAACTTATGTCAAGCATAAGTTTTAATCTTTGCATAAACGCTGTATTCATAAAACCATTTAAGTGGTATCACTAAAGGTACAAAATTTTAAGCTCGCAGCCATGGAAAGAAAATTGTAATGGTTCAAAATAAACTCCAAATACGCACACTTTCAATAATAAAGATATGCAATTTAATGAAGACAAGTACGAATCATTTAATAGTACCCACCATAATTTGGAAATGCAGAAAAGGTCCTGAAAGCTTGAGGGTGATGAGAAGAATGTAATTTGAAAGCATTGGCAGCCCATAAGACACTGCGTATAAGTTTCATCTTGCCTGTAACATTATGTAAATCACTTCACCTTAGTATTTATTTTGAACCCAAAAAAAAAAACAGTTTAGTACACACAATAAAAATGAAAATTAAACTTCAGTCAAAATCTAATCAACTCATAACAAACAATCACTCAAAAAAATCCATAGATGAGCAAATCAAAATATTCAAACATGTGCTCTTCGTCATCACTAAATACTATTCATCTGGTTATTTCTCTTTCACAAGAATAGGCATTCACATAAAGTTGATCTTTTTCAAGTTCTTTTGTTATTTTCTCCATGAATGCATTAACTTCACTTTGGAGAGATTTTAAACATGCCCTTCTACTTACACAATTTTCTACCAAGAATGAGGAGAAAAAAAACAAAATCCACTGTTGGCTGCTAGTAAAAATTCCATTTCTGAAAGCACAAACTAGTAAACAACCAGGAAAACAATGTTATCAAAGGCGAAAAGCGCAAAAACACTCAAAATTCTGCTGGGGCTTTAAACACAAATAAAGTGTGGGCTTTAATGAAGAAAGGCGCAAATGGAGAAAAACTACAAATATGTATGTGTTAGTCGAAGACTAATATTTATAAGCATGAATGCCAAATATATGGACAAAGAAATTGAAGAAAACTTTTGATAAGGTGAAATATCAATTGTTTAGTGTTGCCTCTTCAGGATTTCGCTTATTGGCAAGGAAAAATATGCGTTAGAGCCTTGACGACAACACTGAAGCGTAGCAGAGCGCTCAACTTGTTTGAGCATCACTTCAGAGCTTAAGCGCGCCTTTGATAACACTGCGGTAGAAGGTACACAAACCAAACCAAACCCAAAAAAAACGTATTGTTAGATTCCAAAAATGTAAAGGTCAGATTTATACCAACTACAGGTCACATAAATCAAAAAAATATCTAACCAGATTTTCAGATACTGTATAAAAAAGGAATATAGTCCAATCACACCTCCAAATTCCTCCTACAATGGAACAAACACTTCGCAAAACACCCTGATTTCAATATTTATTCAAAAGGCATAACCATAAGCAAATCGTACGATATCATAACTAACAAAACCGAGACACTACAAATAAACGCAAATAAATCCAAAATTCTCAGTTGACGTTCTACTCTAAAAGGGTCTGAAAAAACCCCAGAAAAGATTAGGTTCGTTAACCGAGACACATTTTCATATCAAACTCATTTGCAAATACAAATTCAGTAACACATAGCTTACAGATTCAACTGAGGAAAATAGCGAGCATAAATAGGATTGAAAATGAATGACAGATTATTCATAGAACTTTGGGATTTTTCTAGGAGAAAGAATGAGACATACCTGGTTAGCTAGTGCTTCTGGAGGCTATGGAATTACAAAGGCGAAGAAAGCGCTTTGATCTTTGAGATTTCCGAATGGGCTGTTAAATGGGCCAGATCGTTCTGTTCGGGAGAAATTAAAAAATAGCCGCGGCTTCAAAGTAATGGAAATTTAGCTACTATTCATGTAAGGATAAATTTGAACAAAAATACTATTTAAAATCCGAAAAAATACTTCAGCATAATATACTGGAGTTTCAGTATAATATACCGGTCCAGAATAATATACTGGAGTTTGGAGCCCGGTGCTCTAGTCTCCAGTATATTATACTGGAGCCAGCAAAGTATACTGGTCCAGCATAATATGCTGGAAGCTCATACACAGGTGCACCGAACTCCAGTATATTATGTTGGACCGGTCTCTATTGCAGCAAAATAATGGCTATTTTTCAATGACTTGGCAAACGTTGGCTATTTTGAATGACCAGTCCGAAAACTGGCTAGATCGTGCTATTTTAACGTTCTGTTCGACTTACAGTTTTCTTAGTTAAAATAGCACGGTCTAGCCAATTTTTGGACCGATCATTCAAAAATAGCCAGCGTTTCCCAAGTCATTGAAAAATAATCACTATTTTGCTGCAACAGAGACCTCCAGCATAATATACTGGAGTTCGGTGCACATGTGTATGAACTTCCAGCATATTATGTTGGACCAGTATACTTTGCTGGCTCCAGTATATTATGCTGGAGTATTTTTCCGGATTTTGAACAACATTTTCGTTCAGATTTATCTTTACATGAAAAGTAGCTAAATTTTGATTACTTTTAAAATCATGACTATTTTTGAATGACCACTTGTAGATCTGGCTATTTTTGAATTTCCCCCTTAAAAATTGCATATGGATATGAGTTAAAGATGAGGTAAATAGGCCCAGTTCACTTTATTGGACGGACAATTTCCATTAGTAAAAATAGCACGGTATAGTCAGTTTTCGGACTGGTCATTCAAAAATAGACAACTTTTACCAAGTCCATAAAAATAGCCATTATTTTGCTGCAACAGAAACCGATCCAGCATAATATACTGGAGTTCGGTGCACCTGTGTATGAACTCCAGCATATTATGCTGGACCAGTATACTTTGCTGGTTCCAGTATAATATACTGGAGTTTCAGCAAGTATACCGGTCCAGCATAATATACTGGAGTTCGGTGCACCTGTGTATGAACTCCAGCATATTATGCTGGACCAGTATACTTTGCTGGTTCCAGTATAATATACTGGAGACTGGAGCATCGGTGCTCCAAACTCCAGTATATTATGCTGGACCGGTATACTTGCTGAAACTCCAGTATATTATACTAGAGTTCTAGTGTACTTATGCTGGAACTCCATCATATTATGCTGGAGTTCCAGTATACTTATCCTGGAACTCCAGTATAATATGTTGGAGTTCAAGTATACTTATGTTGGAACTCCAGCATAATATACTTGTGTATTTTCTGGGTTTTGAAGAGTGTTTTCGCTCAGATTTATCTTTACATGAAAAGTGGCTAAATTTTTATTACTTTTGAAACTGTGTATTTTTGAACGACCAGTTATAAATCTGGCTATTTTTGAATTTCACTCTTTCCATTATGGCTCGTAAGAGTCTGTATACCTATTTAAATGGGAGTTTTATAGCTTTACCCACAAAAAACTAAACTAATTATCCTTACCTACCCATTAGCTTTTTATCCACCAAACTAATTACCCTTCCTATTCATTACAGCTTTTGTGAGTAATATTATTAGTGAAAGGAGATATGAAAATCGTAATTGTGGCTTTGCTTTCATAAAGTTAAATGGGAAATCGTGAGAGGCTATTGTTAAACCGTGAGATTAAATTGTGCCCATGATTTATTCTTGACACATTATATAAGGAGGAGGGAAGCGAGCCTGAGAAAGCCAACAAGAGGTTGAAATCATAGGCTGCCCATCAAAGTTAAGTATTGAGAAGAGAGAAATAATTATTATTTTCATCATCTGCTTCTAATACAATAAATAACATCTCCATGAAATTCCATCTAACACCTCTATAAAGGAATTTCTTTTTATAAAAAGCATGATAACTTTGTTAAAATATTTAAAAAGGATCCAATTAAAAAAATTTAAAAATTTAAAAATAACCCAATTATAATATCATATTGTATATTATAACAATATATTATTGTAGTAAACTTTATACTATTAAATTATATATTATACACCAAAATATCAAACAGTATATGAAAATAATATTTTGTGTTCTTTTTTTTCCGGGTAAACTTCCATTTCTATTTCACCAAAAAAAGATCATTACAATATAGGAATTGGTGACCAGTTCCTTGACTCTGTTCGACAACTGATTTCTCAAATATAACCTATACAAGGTTTCAATTTCATCTATAGCCTATACACAAACTTTAACCTATACAAGCTGCACCATAAACAAAGGGCAGTACATTTGATAGAATAAAGAGCTAGACTTGTCTAAGGATACCAATTCAATGTCTCCAAATGCTTCTGCCAGCTGATATGTGTATTGCCTTTGATATGTATATGGCTTGCATTCTCTGCATATTCTATCTGATGATGAGCTTCCACTTTGAAATCTGATTTTGTTCCTGTCTCTCCATATGAGGTATACCATCATCCCAAAAATAGCTCAGACAATTGTCCTTATTCCCTTCTTTTGCCTAGCACAGGTTGTCACCCATTTCAGCTCTTCTTGCCATGTTCTTATCTGTCTTGGACAACCAAGTCAATTCAATAATCTTTGCCAAATATTCTTCGTGTATGGACAACCAAAGAATAAATGATCAAAATGTTCATCACCCATGCCACAGAAAACATAAGTTTGAGGAACTTGAATACCAATTTTCTGTAGCCTCTCAATAGTAGGTAATCTCCCCTGTACATCTAACCATAAGTTGAATTTGTGTCGAGGGTGTATATGAGGTTATATAATCAGGCATTTCCAGTACACCCTTTGGACCTGAGGAATCTGCAACTTATATAGCTTTTTTATGCTGAATCTTCCATCTGGACTTTGCAATGTCATCTGTCTTGAATTCAGCTCTCCTTCCAAGGTAGGTAGCTCAAGGATAAGCTTCCTGAGTTCAAGAATTTTCCTCACTACCCAGGCTGCATTCTTGGGTATGGACATAGTGTCAATGGTTCTTGATGTAGTAAGCATGGATCCACTTAATCCAAAGGCAATCCTTCTTCTTGGTGATAGTCCATAAGTGTTTTGCCACTGCTGCTTTGTTCCAGTTGTACAAGTTTATAACATTTAGACCTCCCACTACTTGTGGCAAGCATATCTTGTCCCAAGACACCAGTGCTTTCCTAGAGATTTCTACTTGTCCTATCCATAAAAATGTTCTGCATGTGGCTTCAATCATTTTCAACACCTTCTTTTGGCAGTAAGAATATTTGTACCCAGTATGATTGTACACCAAAGATCACTGATTTTATGGGTTGTAGTCTTCCTGAGTATGATAGAAGCTTTGATGTCCAACAGTTTATACTTGCAGTAATATTTTCTACCAGTGGCCAACATTGGTTAATCGATAGCTTCCTTGATGCTAGTGGCACTCCCAGGTATTTGAATGGCAATGTGCCCTCATTGTATCCTAGCTTCTACGAGATGTCCTCTTTCAGATTTGCAGAAATACCAGCAAGGTAGATGGAACTCTTGTCTGCATTTGCTTGTAGTCCTGAGGCTTTTGAAAAATTCATAAAAGCCTGTTGGAGCAGCCTAATAGAAGGAAGGTCTGCCTTATAAAGCATCAGCAGATCATCAACAAAACACACATGGATCACTCCCAACTTTTTGCATCTAGGGTGGAAGTGGAACTCCTTGTTCAAAGCAACTGGTTAAATTGTCTCTGTAGATATTTCATGGCAAGCACAAACAGATAAGGTGACATAGGGTCACCTTGCCTTATTCCTCTTTGTCCTCCGAAGGGTTTAGTGAGCCCTCTATTTAGTGTTAAGAAATAAGTGACAGTTGTTATACACTCCATTATCCACTCAATGAACTTATGTGGGAATCCCAGTTCAATCGGCATTTTCAAAAAATACCAATCCAAAGTATCATATGCCTTCCTAAGGTCGATCTTAAGGACACACCTTGTAGAGATCCCTTTCCTTTTATAGCTTTTGAATAGTTCATGAGTGAACAAAATATTCTCAGTGATGCTTCTACCTTCAATGAAAGCTGATTGTGAACCTCCTACAAGATGAGCTATCACTTTCTTTAGTCTTCCAGTGATGGCTTTAGTGATGATCTTATATAAGGTTGTGCAACATGCTATAGGCCTAAAGTCCTTAACCTGGGTGGGGTTGGTGACTTTTGGGATCAGAGTGATAACAATACAATTTATAGCCTTATGCATATTTCCTGTTTGAAAGAAGGCTAGCACCGCACATCATCTTTTACCTCCTCCCATTGTTGAGCGGAGAATTCAATTGGAATTCCATCAACACCTAGTGCTTTGTCAGTTGGCATGCTTTTAATAGCATCAATTATTTCCTCTGTTGTGACATCTTTGATCAGCTCCAATTGTTGTTGTCTTGTTAGGTAGGGTCCTTTCTTAATCACCTCAGAATTTGGACAGGGGAGAATATGTGATGACTCTCCCATCAGCTTCTTTAAGAAAGAAAGAAATTGGTCTTCTACTTTCTTTGGTTCTGTGATTCTGATTCCTGCATCATTATGAATAGAAAGAATTGTGTTAGCATTTGTGTGCATCTTCCACTGAGCATGAAAGTATTTTGTATTGGCATCTCCATATTGTATCCGTATAGTTCGTGATTTTTGCCTTAAAACCTGTTCCTCTATATTACTCCACTTTTTCACTTCCATTAAAGCTT